GGAAGTTAAACTGCTTATGCAGCGGATCTTTATGTTACAGCAAACCTCTAGGAACTAGAATTTGGGGCTGGTCACATGCCTGATCTCCTATTTACCCTGTTGCCAGTTGTCACATGTTCCCTTCTTGTCCTCTGAAAACAGGATTCCCTTTTTTCCATGTTGCCAGCCTTCTGCTGCAGATTTTGTCTGCTCCATCTCCCTGTGGGTCTGTTCTGTTTCTCCTGCTGGACTGCCTGGTATCTCAGGGCAGTGGTTGCTCCTGTCTCTCATCCCCTTGAAGGGAGAAGTTGAACCTTGCAGGAGACTTGTAACAAGAAGAGGTGGAGTTGGGCTTGATCTTATGAAGTGTGCGAGTACAGCCTGCCAAAAATCCACCTTTCTTGCCAGCAACAAACCCTGTAGTGGCTCCCACAAATTTTTTATGTTGGCTGCTGGTGACGTTTGTGTCCTTTTAATTACAAAAATCTGGCTAGTGCCTTTGTGCAGCTGTTGTAGAGCTCTCCTGCAAGCAGGATGACCATTTTTCACTGACATCCTGTGTACCCATGGGGTTTGTTTCCTCAGTTTGGGCTCTTTTGTGCCTGTCATGTTCTGTTTTACCACAAAACTTGAAAAAGCGAAATGATTCCTGTTTTCCTACTCCAAAGCTAGGCAAGATTATGGAGTCGGTTTTTGTTTGGCATGTGTACACCTTTGTTCAAAAATTGGCTTGCTTTCACTGGCAAGGAGACCTATCTTTCAGCCAAGCTTCCTAAAACATGATGATGCTGTTTAGCTAAGTGGTCCTCTGTTGAGATTTGTAAAGGGCTCTGAGAATTCCAGCTTCTAGCAAATTTACCTTGGGTTTGGTCTTGCGTGCCTCTGAGTAGCACCAAGTCCCGTCTCTGTGCCCCTAGTAGCCATTCCCCAGGAGAGCCTTCTTCCTTCCCGTGCCAGAATTACGCTAATTCTACATGCAGACTCAACAGTGTAGATAATGTTAGACTGTCAGAGATACATATCTAATACAATCTGACTTTGGGAGTGAATAGGCTGTTATCTAGAACTTGATAAGAACTGCTATTTGTCTAGTAAGGAATTATCTTAACTGAGAGCCTGTTGCCTTGATGCTGAAGGACTGACTGTGCTTTTATTCACGGCTCCATAAAATGGGAGGGGAGGAAACAGAAGAGAAAGCAATGTAATCAGTAATCACGCTTGGTGGCCACAGTGCATTGATTTGTTACACCATTAGTCCTGCTAGTAGACTGCAGACCTCAAAACAGGACAATTACATCTGCAAATGATCGTTTGTGGTACTGTAACACCGTCTCAGTTTGAAGCTTGGTTAGCACTCTGAAAGTTAGACCTCTGCTGAGAAATACTCGTTTCTGTCTGTCCCGGGAAGCCACATGCTCCCTGAACTTTCAAGTAAGCTATGTTCTTTTATGCCTTGCCAATGTTATCTGTTGTGGGGATTTTTAAATTGAATTAGAGCACAGGAAAGCATCGGTTGAAATTCCTCTAAAAAAATATGTATTTCAGATTTGTCTCTAGACTAAGTAACAAGTAACAGAGTTTAACTAAGAGGAGGGGAAGGGGGGAAAAGGGGCAGGTTTGCTACTGGAGCTCTGGAATTAATTGCCATGAAGCAATGAAGGAGGAGTGAAAGACTGGTCTCTCCAGGAACAAAAGATGTCTAACCTCATCTCTTAGTGACTGTTCTGTGTACACCAAATGGAGCTGAGGGAAGACGAAGACTGTTCCCTATGCCTGCCCTCTTAGATTAAAAAGTGAAAAGTGGATTGGATTTTTTTTTTTTTTTGGTGGTTGTTCTTAATGCTATTGTGGATATAAGGATGACTATATAAGGATGACTGTCTAGCACAAGCCCAGGCACAGAGTAAGCTCAGATTTCTTTTGCAGACCTCTGGGGAGGGGAGACCGTCCCTTGCAGGGTGTTCATCGAGTGCAGTCGGATGGCAGACAGATTGCCATCTGTTACCCCTGACTCGTTGCAGCAGTCTCCCACCCCTTGCCCTGCTTCGTTTGGGCTAAAATGCTCTGCCTTATAAACTAGTTAGTGCAGGCCAAATGATGTACCAGTGCAGCTTTCCTGTAGCAGCTTGGCAGTCACTTCATGGCACCGCACTGTGCTGGGGACACACAACCTTGGATGTGAAAGCTCTCTGGAGTAGGGACGGTTCTTGTGCCCTTGCGTAAGGGACTCTGTACCCTGCTTGCTCCTGGAAGTGCTGCTCCAGCACAGGACAGCCTTTCTTATTTCATGGAGGAGGGATGAAGAGGAGAGTCAGCTAGCGGGAACTGCTGTTGTGCCAGAGAGGTTCTTCTTGGTAGAAGGTTTGAGCCCAACTTTGGGGCATAGTGAGGAACGGAGCCCTGCCTCTGGGGCCAGGAATTCCCTTCCAGCGAGGCAGGGCAATCTGCGGCTCGTCCCACTTTTCTCCCCTGTGCCCAAGCCACGGCTCCTCTCTTGCTCTCTGCTGCGCTATGCCGAGGCCAGGCTGTGTGAGCTGCTGAGACCTTCCAGTTCTCTCTCTGCACCCACCCTGCGGTGGCTGGCCAGCAGCCGAGTGCCGGGTCCTCCTCAGTGGGACTAGGGTCCCATGCTCAAGCCTGTGAAATTTTGTCTGCCAAGCCTGACATCCTGCGGGTTCTGCTTCTCAATCCGGCATGTGACTATAACTCTGAACTGCCAGTGCTCACCAATTATGCTGTCACGGACTTAAGTGTATTATCAGAACAAGGATGATAAAAATTCAGTCATCTGCATTTTTATACCCTGATCTTTCTCTTCATAAATAAGACCAAAGTGCATGTTATCTAATGAATTTTATTTGTTAATCACTTGGATGGCTGGAATATTTCTCCTCCTTGGGTTATATGTATATAAATGAAAATATTGTTAGTGATTTCACAAAACGGTAATTCAGAATAATGGAGAGTTAATCCTCTTTTCATTAGCAAGCCACTTCAGGACATACACTGTGGCAAATTACACTGCATTTTAAGTTGTTCTCGAGTGCTGTGCACTAGGAAAAAACATTAAACTATTTTTGCATTGCTAGAAGTAATTGTGTGGCTAATTTGGATAAGCAGCATGCATTAGGCACAGCGAAGGAATCTCTTCTTTATGTTCCCTATCCACTCTACAGCTGACAAATGGAATTTCTTATAGAGCTCTTCAGTTTTTCATTTTGTTTGTAACAAAACAGGGAGGGAGGAAAGAAAGTGCAAGGGAAAAAAAGGAAAAACTGCTATCTGCTGTTTAATTCAGAGAGTGAACACAGTCTAGTCACTGGAGCAGTGATATCACAGTGAAAGATTTCCTTTCTGCACCTTGTTCCGAGTCCCTTGAACTACTCAAATTAACCCAAAATTCCCAAGAAGCCTCTGGGAAGAACTTAGTGGCCCATTTTGAAATTTGTTCAACTGGAGGGATGTGCCTCCCCCACCCCAAAATTTGTAGGGCGTTAGTTAATGCTTTTGGAAACGTCAGTCATGAGTTCTACAGTTTAATAATCCCACAGATGTGGGGGGAAAAAAATGAGGTTCATATTTAGAGGTGAACGTCAGAGCTTCAGTGGTGGTGTGTACATTTCTAATGCTGGTTTTCCAGATGTGGTGGAAGTTTCTGAGTACTTTGAGACTGAAAGCTATAAGTCATTATCTACATAACAAAATACTATGTTTCTTAATATTTTTGGCTCAACGTGCTGTGCAAGCCTTAGTACTGTGTATAAAGATGCCAAACAATTTGGCAAGATTTATGCCTGGGAGTTAAGATCCAAGTCAGCTGTAGAGATTTTAAAAAAAAAAAAAAAGCAGACGGAACAGAAAAGGATTACATTTGCTTTTGTCCTTGCAAGGACCTATGTACCCTCTCCCGTTCTTTTCTGCACCCCTCCCTGACCCAGGAGGGTTCCTCCATCGCTGCGGTTGCCCCAAGCGTATGTACTCTGGCTGCCAATTTGTAGCTGTGTTTGTGTGCCTGAAGTTATAGATCCCCAATAAGGTCAGAGCCCAGTGGTGTTGGTGTGCTCTACAAACATGCAACGAGAGAAGCTAAGCAAATAAGAGGTGGGAAGAAAAATGGAGACAGAAGGCAATTTTCCTCGCTCTTTCCTTCAGAAGGAACAATGGTAATCCTGTTAGCTGTGCTGTCCTGCCTGACATAGCACACAGTGATTCCTTGCCTTAATGACTGCTTCAGTCCATATTTATATAGCAGAATAGTTTAAATTCTTTACCACCCATGTTTCCTGCTCTTGGGAGTTCTCCCAGCCCATATGACATCGATCACCAGTGCTCGTGGGGCTTTTGATACTGGATTTATTAAATTTAATTTGGTGTACACAAGTGTACCGGCCTTGGTTTTGTACTTAGAGAGTTGTCTAAAAGCTACTTCTTCCTGAAAATACCAACCAATTCCAAATTCTTCTGGTTTAGCTGGGAATGAAAGGTTTTCAGCATCCAGCAAACACCTAAATATATAACCTATTTGTAAATGTGGAGGCAGATTTTGATCTTATTCCTGTTTTGATGCTTTCAGATTTTGCTTCCTACCTCTCTCCTCATGACAGCTCTGAAAAAGGAGTGAAGCTGTGATATCTTAAGGTTTGTATTTCCCCCACCCCCCCCACCCCAAGATGCCAAGGGAGGGAAAGAAAATAACCAAAACAGACTATTTATCTGTCAGCTCTGTGCCTTTCATAAGCAGTCTACAGAAGTAATAACACTTCCAGTAGACCTTATGCCCACACCAGTGCAGTAGGAGATAAACATGGGGCCCTTGAAATTAGTCAGTGGTTTGACCCTCAAGTCTGGGGACTGAATTTATCTACTGCCATGAACACTAAATTTGAAAGAAGAACAATAGAATGGAAAAAAACCTCTGTAATTATGATTAAGAAATCATTTTTGTGCATGAACTGCTTGTTACTGAGAAATGATTCCCATTTTCTTTTCTGATATTGTATGGAGAGCTGACTTACTTGAATGTTTTTATTTATCAGGTGGAATTCAACGCAACTGAAATCAGAGGACATCTATCTTCCAGGGGGTCCAAACCTGAGACCTTCTTGGCTTCCAGACAACTGCAAAAATAATGCTTTTATTTTTATTTACTTATTTCTTTCAGTTTAGTAGCTACCTTAGATAAAACCTTCGTGGAGAAACGGCGTCTGTAACAAGTGTGTACATGAGAGGGAAGTACCTGAGAGAAGGTGAGAATGGAGAATACCAGTTCTCCTACACTTTCAAAAAAATGTGCAAAAGACTTGAATCCAGTTTAGTAACCTGTCTCCGGGTGAGCACTCTCTTGGTGCTGAAGGCAGACAAAAATCAGATCTAATGACTGAGGGTCTTCAGAAATAGTGAGGGAGGATCTATTGAGCAAGTTCCTGAATTCTTAAGAAATGTTTTGTTCTTCCATTTCCATCCAGCATGCCAGGTACATACCTCCCTTCAGGGTGAAAAAGTACTTACCCTTTTCGAGTATGACTAAGCAGAGGGATGTTTTATAAACTGGAAAGTTCTCCTTGCAGAAGCCAAGGCACATGCTGTCTGGAGCACAGTGTTTGCACTTGGGAGGAGGGTAAACAGTGCTTTGGTTTCTAAGCTTTTTATGACTCGAAGTACATCAGTTGAGCTGAGAGCTGGTTAGCTGCAGTAACAAAAGCTTGCTTTGTTGGATGATTTAACTAAATGAATTTAAAATGGTGCACCCTGATATGCCATCCCCGTGACATTTTGCTCAGTCTCCAAACACTGGCAATAGCCATGAAGAGCTATGTGCTTTCCTGTGTAACCTGGCGCTTGCTGTGCCCCAGGGTACTGCAATGAAGTACAGTGCTGCAAAGGTTCCTTGGGTGGTTTGTTTCCCTAACGCTAGACCAAAAAAAATAATTTTGTACAAATACTTCTTGGGAAGGAGGCAGAGTGAGTCCTTCAAAAAATCTTTTTCTAAAAGAGCCCTAAAAGAATTAAGCAAAGTGTTGTACATCCAAAACTGGAAACCTCCGGGGTACCTGCAGTGTACTTAAGTGAATAATAACACAATCCTGTGTTCCTTATTCCTGTCAGAGTCTTCACCAAAAACTGTCGTTTACTTCAGTTCCTTTATTTTACCCCTGCATTCTTATGCTTGAAGCGTTCAGGGACTGTCACCCAATGCATTCATCTTTAAACAGTTTAAAACCAGAAGAGTCATAGCCTCTGTGCAATTATTTCCCAGACCCTCCTGCTGTGAATATTCAAAACTAACCAGCTATTTCAATGAATTTCTAAGCCACTGATGACTTCTTAAAAACTTATTTTTGCCCTCATTCTTTATTGTTGACCGAACTGGTTAATTAAAAACAGATTAAGATGAGATTTCATTAAATATTATGAGAGTGCCCAAAGAAACTTAAAACACAACGTCATCTGAGAGAATTGTAATTCAAATGGAAAAGTTAGATTTGACTGGTGGGTGGAGCAATTATCGAAGAATAAGCAAAATATTCTGGGATGGATGTTACAAAAGGTTGAAAAGTTGCATTTTTATTCCTAACTTTTAAAATTTAAATTGAAATCATCTCTAAGATAAATAAATGAGTTTTGGCACCTCATTTCCTATTTTATAGAGTCATTTCTGTAACATGACCGATTTGTTTTTTAAAAAATTATAAATTATACTTTCAAAACTTCTTTGACTCTGCAATAGTTTTAAGCTTTTTTTTCTCTGCAACAAGCTTATGAAGTTATCAGTTACCTTAGAAAGTTCGCCAGCTCTCAGTCCTCTTCCTGGTTTACTAAACTATGTTGTAAAAGGAAGAAAAGGAGCACAAGAAGTACAGCAGAAAATGTATATTGCTTAACCTTACCTGTAAGCTTAGGTGGGTGCTCTAGGTAGCTGGGTCCTGTGAAGTGCAGCAGAACGACAAAAGAAATCTTACCAACTTTGCAACTAGAGTCTATTTTTAGAGGAGGATTTGCTGACTCTGACCTTGAGTGCTACCCACTCCAAAGGACGATCTTTACATCTGCTGGTAAAACTATTCCCTGATGCGACCTGTAACATTAAACCTGGCAATTTAGCTATCTAGCCTCAGTATGACTAAGACAATGTGATGCCTGCGTGTTGACTATAACAAAAAAATCATCTTTTATCTTCTTCTCCCCTTGTCAGGCCTGATGCGCTGCTGTTTTCTGTCATGCTGTGCACAAGTGATTTGGCACTGGCACAACGGGCAATGGGGAGGGGTGGCATCCTAACAAGATCCTCGTCTCTTGCATGGGCACCACCAGAAATCCACCTTCCCCTGCATACTGTCTGGTTTTTCTCCAGCGCTGCCACTCTCAGTATCCATCTGACTTCTGAAATGCCTTTCTCTGCTGAGAAAGTGATGTGGTGCTCAGCCCTGCTCAGCTCTGGTGACACGGGCACAGCTTGCCAAAAAGAGGCGGAGGTACACTCTCCAACCTTTGAAAAACTCCCTACTTTCCTAAAAAGTTTTCCTGAAAAGCTCCATGCCTTCCTATTGCAGAAAGTCTAAAACTTTCTGTAGTAAGCCACAGCCAGAGTCATCAAAGATCAAATCTGGGTTCCCCGGTGTCAGAGCCACACCTCTTCCACTCCTGCACTTCATCTGCTGCGAGAGCGGTGACCTTCATGGCCTGCAGGGCTGTCTGCTAGAGGGATCAGTGATCATGTGCGAGGAGCTGGTACACAATATCCTCTCCCCAAGCATTTGTTCTGCAGCAAACCGTTCCTCAGTGTTGCCAACTCAGACAACTTCATTAGGAGTAATGAGATTTCAGTGCTGCTGGAGCCAGGGTTGCAATGACATAAGAAGCTCCAGCTGTCACGTGAGTATTTATATTTCTCAGGGGAAATTCCTCAGATCCATTGCCTTCTGTCTGGGAGTTGGGGTAAGGAGGCAGAGACCAGTCAGCACAAGCACGTGATACTGGGAAGTAGCCCGTTGGTCTCTGCATCTGCTTTTTGGGGCCTCCCAGCCCCTTCTGTTGAGATGACCATCTTGGAGGTGATCTCTCTGAGCAGACCTGTATGCGCTGCTTGCTTATCTTTCTGGCTCACAGTGCTCCCTACTCTTACCCCAGTGCATGCAAAAAGCAGCCAGTTGTTGATGTGTACCCACTGTGGAACTTTTTTCATCTCTTGCAAGAACAAAAACAGTCTTCTGTGACTGCAAATGCCTGTGCCTGACCAAAGTTTCAGGTTGCCCAAGTGTTTTTTCCAAAGTATCCAAGTCCCACGGTAGATGCTATTAATTTTCAATGGACACAAGTTCCTGACTATGTCAGTTATTTTTAATATTACTTCAAATCCTTCCAACCACCTTTGTCATCCCCTGCCTGTTTAAAAGAAAAAAGTTCATCCCAGAAGGACCGGGACCAGACTTGGTCATGGCCCGTGGCTAATACTGCAGTACAGATGTGAAGTAATAACAAACAGTTTCAGTTCAAGTTCTGGGCATTGGATCTGCTGCTGCTTCATGCTAACAGCATCACTCTAGCCAAGTTTCTGTATTACAGAGCAGCCAAGCTCCTCCCTGCCAATTATTCAGATAGTCGCTCTTAAAATGAGAAAGAGCTTAGATGTTAGAAACCTGCTGTGCCTTCTACGGTACCTTGGAAGGTTGTTGTGCAAATTAATTCTATACTGGTAACAGAGAAACTTTGTGGAGGAGGAGATACAGACCCCATATAACAGAAACTAGCAGCGGTTGGTTTATTTTTATCCCTGCAGGCGACCCAGCATGGGGGAATATGGGTAAGACGATACAGCAGACCGGCAGTGCTGGCGAGAGGAGGCTATGTAAGGTGTGCGATGGAAGGTTTGTGCACCCCGGGTGGCACGGCACGGGGATGGGCAGTGGTCTGTTGCTTCTCTTGGGCTGTCACTCCCCAAGGTTGTCTTTCTGATGTCAGATTGATGGCATGACAATGTTTTGTGGTATTGTTTTTTCAGGCTGGCATTCTGAGTTCCGGGAATATTAAGCTGAAACAGAAGTATTTGTTTGTCTGCCTGGCTGTCAAAACAATACGAGCCCTTATGCCCCTCTCTCCGTAGGGTCCCAAGAATGGGAGGGATCGTTCACCTCCTGGAAAAACGTTTTATTTTTGGGACCAGTTGTGTGTGTTTCCATTAGTTTTGCTTTTGTTAAGTAAAAAATACTAGCTCCTGAGATGTTCTGAGAGTGGCCAAAGACTTAGAGTGTTTTGGAGCCTGGACACATGGGAAACACAGCAGGAAGGCTCTTATTTTGGAAGAGGTAAGCACCTGCCCTCTGGAAAGTTGAATAGTTGCCTGGGGCTCCTAAAAGCAGATGTTTGCCATGTTATTGGTCATTTCTGAAAATCTTGGCTAAGCTTATGATGGTGCTTTGAACATGCAGATCACTCCCCCTTCCTGGAGCCTTGCATGCATTCAGCCTGCTCTTGTTCAGCCTGCAGGTCCCTGCTGTCGGTGGTTGCCTCTTGCATGTGGTCACCCACTGGCCCCACATGCCTGTCTTAGCAAAGCAACTGCACCAGGGCCAGAACATGAGCCTGGGCAAAATTCATTATCCCTGTATTTTTCATGTGCATTCTGAAAGTGTCAAAGGGCCAAACAAGAACGCCAGGCACTGTTCAGATACACGATAAAAGGCAATTCCTAGGCTTGGGAGCTGGAGAAGAGGTAAAGGCTTAGGTGGGAAAAAGGATGACAGCCAAGCAGAATAGGCAAGACTGTGGCTAAAAAAATGCCACTGACCAGCTTCATAGGTAGGAGTTTCTGTAGCACAGAGCATGGAGCTGTTGGAAGGATGAGAGCTCAAATCCCATTCAGGGGGAGGGAGTGGGAAGCGGAAAAAAACGAAAGCTTTTTTTTAGGGAAAAAAAAAAAAAATTCTTAGAAGGACTGAATTTCTTCCACAAACACTGGGTAAAGAAAAGGAGAAGGGAGAGAAATGATAGATTTCTGGCCAGACCACACTAGATGTACAGTTGGAAAAATGTGACACTCTGTTTTCTAAGGCTTGAAATTTTTATGTTAGTTTAAAATAAAAGCTTTGAGTAAAGTTCTGCTTTAGAAGACTTCCCTCCCCCATTCCAACCTGGTAGACTGGAAGATTTCCTCTTTGCTACAAAATATGCTATTATTTGGAAAAGCTGGGTTTTTAACAATTGCATGGGAAGAATAAGTATATAATTATATAAGATTGTCCTAATGGACATTTGCAGCTGTACTGAGATGCTAACAACATGCAGAAACCATTATGTTTCCAGTTGTTTGGCTAAAGTTAAGAAACCTTATATATGTATTTTAAAGTTAACCGTAAAGTAAATCCAGATGGTTCTCTCTTGCACAGACAAGCAGTCTTCAAACTAGACATATAGCTGTAGCCTGGCTAGAACTTGTTTTGATTACTGCAGATAGAGAGCAATGTTTTAAATGACTGTGCACCCTCCTCACAAAATGCTGCGTGCCCTTGATTCTTGCTGAAGTCAACTGGCATTTAAGCAGCACTACATAAAACTTGTTTGACAATACCTTGTGTGCATGAGTATCTAGCTGGGCATTACTTATTTAATTTCTCTTTATACTGAAGTTTTGCTTAATGGCCCCCATCAGGGGTTGGGGCTCTGCTGAGGCAGGGTTGCAGACCCATAAAACAAAAAGGAGAGTTACTGCCCTATGTAACTACCGTTTGAGCTTGAGTTTGTTCTTCTCTCTTCATGTCCTAATTAAGGATTACCAGAAAGTATTGGTGGTATGCTTATTTTTGATTGATGTATTCAGAGTTTTATTTGATTCTTTAACAAGCATTGTCTGTTGTGTTCATTACTGTATTTCAGTTAGATGTCAGTTGTGCTAGCTTCTATCAGCAGGGGAATCAGAATTATGTTGACTCGTGAGACCATTCTGCAAATCAAATCAAAGGGGCAGGCTTGCTTCACAGGGCAAGGATTTCAGTGTCTGAATGCTTTAAGTCAACACATTAGGAGCATTTCTGAAATTCTGAAAATAGGGGGAACTGAAGGGTCCATCAGAAATGATAGACTCATGGTATGTTACTTTTTCTGTTTTTTTTTTTTTTAGTCAATAAGCAAGTGTTCTTGGAGATAACAGTTGATGTAGTTTGTCTAAGTAGTATAACAGGTAGAAATGCTGTTTTATGAGCTTCTTAGGCAGTATTGTCAGGAGGGTAACTTGGATTTGACTTGGTAGGAGTCAAATTTACTGGCTGGTGCGTCTCTTGCTATGTCTCTGACAGGGCTAAGAGCCCAGCAGTAGTGGCTGTGTTTATAAGACAGTATTTGAGGCTAGGGACGAAGCAAGCTCCTGGGGGCTAGGAAGGAAGGAAGGACCCCAGTCCTGAACAAGGTTCCCTGGCCTTCCCTGGGCTTGTGGGGGGAGGCTGGGGCTGGGGCTCTGAAAGGAGTTTTGTTCACTGTTCTGTTTTTTCTCTTGCTGTCAGCAGAAAAAACGTTCTGGGAGATTTGTGTTCAAGTGGAGTATAGATCCCAAGGCACAGTAATGTGGAAAATACGGGATGAGGGCTTTCTTGTAACCTCCCCTTACCAAAGAATACTGGGAACAGGAAGGCCTGGGCCCCCCCCTGCTTCTCGGTCAGTGCTAAGAGGAAGCCCTGCAAGAAGAGAACCTACCAGAGAAATCCAATGGACAGAACATTAACCAGTGAGTACATTGTCCTGTGCTGTGCAGGGCATCCTGACATGCTCCTGAGGTCCAAAAATTGGGCACCTCCAATCGTTCGTAGCATTTAAGCTGCCCTACAAGGAAAATAGCATTGCCAAAATTCAAGGTGGTTTTGTCCCTAATATGCCACAGTATCACACACAGGACTGCACTTAAATTCTCTTGATGACAAGTTGGGAAGCTGCCACAGTCTATTTCTACTCTTATTGTTCATTGGGTTAAGAAGGCTTTTTTTCTTCTCCTTCTCTATATCCTTAATAACATGTTGCTACAGAGATTCCA